TCAGTGTAAGTGTTTGAGGGAATAACAGTAGTTGCTGTGTCTGTTAGTACATGTTTGGTTTGGTTTGGGGACTACCTAGGGATTGTGCACCTTTGCCGGGATTCTTGGTAGTGAATTGCTTCCAAAACTTGTCAATCGCTTGCTGAGGCGTGACTTTCGATCTGTCGCCGAGATCAGCGACACCAGACGCAATCTCGGCAAACGACGGGCTTGCGGAGGAAGAGCTAGAGGAAGAAGATGATGAAGGCATCTTGCTTGACTATTAAGCCAACGACAATCACAAAACACATGAAAAGAGAATGAAGAGAAGGACAGGAGGAGAGGAGAACTTGCTGACCTTTTATCCTCACGCAATCATGCACGCCGAGAAAACACAGCGCTTAACGACATCTCAGCTCTCAGCCCGCCTTGTAAGCGGACAACTCATCAAAGAGACCCCTAGATGCAACGGCAAGAAGAAAGATGTAACCAGAACGGGCGTCGCTCTACCCGCCCGTCTCTGTAGCTGTGTGAGCGTCCAACGACGATAGAGCTTGGCCCCCAAAAGTCCCATTTTCACGGGCCGTAGCACCCCTGTAACGTGCCCGCATGTCAGCCCACCTAGGCTTGTAGGGCTGGGGAAGAGGGGGAGGTGAGACGTGAGTGGTTGTTGGTGATTACGTTTGAGGATCCCTGTGCTTTGCGGCTGGATGCATGCACGGGGCATTAATACTGTATTGGAAGGTCTTGGGGTGATGCCAAGTTGAGGGTGCGTCTTGAAGGATTGTCGATGAGTTTAGGCTTCCTTTTAGTGTTTCATTTTGTGTCTTTGAGTGTTTGGTTTGTTAGTATCATAACTCTCAAGGTTGTAAATTGAGCTGAGGATGTTGATGAGGTGTAACAAGCCACCCTAGACTATTCACATGCACAATCACAAACGTAGACAAACTAATGAAACTACTGGAGACCATGCATGTTCCTAACCTCAATATGTGACATGTCTTGTAGTTCAGGTGAGTACGTAACGCATACTCTGTTTGCCCTCGTTTGACCCATCTGCTGTCATCCTCTGCCAGTGTCACACAGATGAGAGCAAACTGAGGACAAGACGCACAAGACACTACCCTACTCTGATAAGATGCATGAGAATCGACCCATGCTAAGTACATTTCCGATGATCGATCTCACTGTCCCTCATTTGTCAGCCGGACAGACTGACCCTCCAGTTTTACGCCAAGCCAAAGATGCAAATGACTACATCATCAAGACAATATCGCTCAACAGTTGCATATCATCTACCCTATCGCAGCCAAGCAACCACAGCCTGATTTTGAGCCGAACCCTTCTACCATATCTATAGCCCCCAACCTCCGCAACGATTTTCACAATGTCGTTCATCATCAACTCGCTCACTGGGCCATGGATCCCCTCAGCATCGCCAGCGGCGTAGCGGGCCTTCTCACAGTCTCAGCCGCCGTGATCAAAACCTTTGACACCGTCAAAACCAGCATAGAGAATTGTCCCCGAACAGTATTCTGGGCGCATGCTGAAACAAAGGAGATCAATTGGGCCATTAGACGCCTCAAGAGTTTGATCGATGATCCGGATTCGGTGCCGAAAGCGGCCAAGATATCGGTTGGCATTCATGATGCGACTGTCACGATCAGTGAATTGATCAAGACGTGTGATCATCTCATCACCACGCTGAAGCCGTTGGATAAGGATGGGAAAGTTGTTCTGACGAAGTGGGATCGCGTCAAGTGGTTGAGGGTGCAGGATGATGTTGTCAAGTATATTCGGCAGCTTCAGGCGCACAAGGGCTCTGTTACTCTCATCTTGAATATTCTACAATGGCAAGTCTTCATTCGTCTCTGGTATTGAAGGTGCTAACAAGAGATAGCGAGTCTGACGTGGTTATTGTGGAATCACAGCGCGCGCTGGAACTCAAGATTGATGCGGTCCTCAATAGCAGCGAAGCAACCCAGAGACGAATCGAAGGTCTCGAAGCGCTCTTCAACAAGTTCATCACCGACAACTCCACTCTGATCCCCTCGAATCGATCATCCATGGCTCCGACATTGCATCAATGGAAAGAAGATGACACTACAGAAACTGATTCAGTAGCGACATCACGGAAGTACGACCAAGACGAATGGGGCGGCTTTTACGCGAGCGCAGAGCGATCACTCAGCTTTCCGACATCGAGCGTCCCAGAATTAGGAATGCCGAAACTCAGGCGCTCAACTTCAGCGGAAACGTCGACAAAGAGTGAGAGTAACGGCACGACTTCACCACCACGTCGAGAGTTTGAAGCAACGCTTGAGAAGACAGACGTCTACAAGCGCGTGTACAACTCGACAGATGCTTTCTCAATTCACTCTACCCAAGGCCGCTCCATAGCAGGCTCAGTGATGACAAGTTTCAGTCTTGCTGACGACTCATCCATTCTGTCAGCTTTTCCGATCATGAGCAGGACAGAACTTCAACACCCCGAGTTTTACACGCAGATGAGTGGCAATCAACGCATATCTCGAGATATCATGAGAACCATCACAACTCGAAGTGTTGTCAAGTCTCCAGTAGAACCACCTCCAGGAGCACCATTCTCGCTGAAGCAGTTCAGATCGCCTCCGAATTGTGGTGAGAACGTCATGGGTCGATGGCATCAATCCCGGACCAAAGTCTGGCGACCCAAAGAGTTTCGAACAGAGATCCAATTCGAAGTCCCCATTATCTTTGCCACTACTTCAAAGACTGCGAAGGGACCTATAGTTGGAGCGGATGTGTTTTTCATTGATGGAACGAGAAAGAGTCTTGATGATACGTGGACTGATCTCGAGCCACCATCTACCGTTACATTCACCAAGACAGGTCGCTTCATTAAGAATGAGCGCGCGACTTGGCTTTCACTGCTATCAAGTTTACAAAAGATGGAGAACGAATCACAGAATTGGACGAGGCAGCAGATCATGGGTCTGCGGCCTCGACCAGCAAGCGCCACGGCCATACTCACTTCCATCGCTGGCAAACACACTCTCAACGTCGCTCTGCAACGCGAGAAGAAAAGCTGGGACGACATGCCCCCATCAATCAACCGTCCCTACGCCACAACTACCATGAGCAGCTTGATAGAAATGCTCGCTATGCTTGGTATCTACTGGAAAGACTTCAACATCTTCCACAACGTGTATCAAGCTGAGGGAAACGGATTTCTCGTCAAAGGTCACAAGATCAGTGGACTTGGGATTATGTTTCACTTTCAAGCGTTGGAGAAGGCTGTGTTTGAAGGGAATAGAACGATTCCGACGGAAGCGGTGACAAGACTTGCTTTTGGACAACTTCCTACGACATTCACTGAGGGATGTCCTGGGTACAAGAGCAGTAACACGCTGTATAAGTGGCCGAATGTTGGATTGGGGAGTCGGACAGAGATTGCGGAAACGTTGTCTTCGCTTGGATGTGGACGCAAGGCGGTCAATTATTTCCTGAGAGATGGAGCTGTGACGTCTCACATCTTTCCAGGTAAGCTCTCGTCTCGCACTTTAAACTGGCAGCACTAACATGTCTAGTCACCTTTGAGCTCATAGGCATGATCGGCCAAGTCTTTCACATCAAGGACCTCTGCTTCAGATATATTCCCAACCCATGCTACTGCGTCTGGAGCACGAGAGGTTTCTCCCTCCCAAGATTACTGGCTGCGTATCAACGATACCTCCACGACGACCCCGACATGGCAAACGGAAAGTTAACACTTCATGTGAACACCATTTTTGCTCCAAAGGCTGGCATTCGACCGGGAGATGACACCCCTCAGAGCTACACTTGGCAAGCACAGGATGCACTGCACTCTGTTCTTGACGAGCTCGACGACTCACTCAAAGACTACTCTTCACCAAAGCATGGAAGTCAAAGAGCATCTCTCGGACAGGAAATTATTGGCGCACATTTTGAAGAACTTCTCTCCCAGATGAACAGCGCCTCTCCAACATCAGCATTCTTACCTGCCAACGCAAGCAACAAAGAAGACCCCCTGATGAAAGCATACTTCCAACAAATCCTCCCCGCAGTGTTGAGGTCAGCATCAATGACATTCTTCAATCTCAAGAACGCAGATTCTGAGTTTCAGGTTGTTAAGGGGGAGGCGGCCCAGACGGCTGAGTATGCAGCGTATCTTCGTGCTGCGAAGGAAGTCTGGTGTTCTTTTGTTCTGAGGATGATTTGCTGGCTTATGTTGCATGATTTTCATCGTGATGATGTTCAGATTCAGAAGGGGAGTTTGTTTGGGAGTGACATGCCAGTTTACATCTCGTAGGGATTAGAGGTTCAATAGGATGATGATAGAGTAAAGGCAGAAAGAGTGTGCGCATGGTGCATGGGTTGCAATCTTGATGGAAGGAAGAGGATTCAAGTGAAGAGACGTTTATATAGAGATACATGCCCATACTCTCTTTGCAACACCATCCGTATTCTACCCTGGGGAGGAGTAAGATGTCATATTCTGGGTACCATTTCAGACAACATTAATGTCAGATTACGGTATTGAGAGGTGCATCCAGGGTACAGTTATTGAGAATTGAGCGGAAACCAGTAGATCAGCAGTTGACCCCTTCTCTAAAGAACTGTTTCTCAACCCTATCAAGGCTTGGAGAACAGGAGATTATAGCTTATTTTAACTCCTTACTTCTGCAGTGCAATGCGCATGGCAAAAGAACAGAGGAGCGAGCCTCTGATTCACTGCCCCACGCTCGCTTCATCACAACAACTCTACCTTCGTTTTGTTCAAATTTCTTCTTTTCTCATCCCTAACACGACCTCTGACTTGATCATCGAACTGTTTCTGGAGACACAGAGATATATATTGAACTTCTAGACGATAAAAGCAGCTTTTTTGGCAAGACGCAGCCCAAACTTGAAGGTTTCAAAGGCGAAACTGTCTCCAACAAAGATGAGTGAGTGAAGCCATTTAAAGCCAAAACAGCAGGCCTGTATTGACGAGGCATACAGATCCTAAGAATCGCAAGATGTCAGCCAAGGAGAGATTGCTTTGGACCGCTTTTGAAAGAGCTAAGCCACGAATGTGCGGTCAAGCAGCAAAGCTGACCATTGATGCGATGGAACTACACCGCAGATATCAAGATCGTACAACACCCGAAAACCATCCGTTTTACGCGAAAATAAAGGGCAGAGGTCAAGAAAGCGACCCAGAGCTTTTATATTATCCTTACATGCTCGTACTACAGGCCATATGGCCTGACAACTCACACGTCCGAACCATGGCTGAAGCGTTCGCCAAGCACTGGGGCGTCTCCAACATGTGGCGGGGCCCAGAATTCTATCCCATGCTGAATGACAGAGAGCTCGAGATGAAGCTCTTCATGGGAAAGAAAGTGAGGTGGACTAAGAAACGAGTGACTCAAGAGTGGGCAGGAAATGATGAAGTCAACGAAGGAGCAGAAGAACAGGAGAAAGGAGATGAGGGGGACCAGCAACAAGAGGAGCAAGAGGGAGAAGAAAAGCAAGACGAAGAAAAGGACAAAGAGCAAGAGGGAGAGAGGGAACAGGAGGCAGACGACGAAGACACACCTCAGAATATTAGCGACATCGATACCCTTACCGACATCGAAAAGCTCGACGAAATGGAAAGCACACTCGAAAACAAACGAAATGAACTCATGAAACAGGTCCAAAATACAGAGGAACTGATGCGAAACGTTCAAGAGCGAAAGAGAGACATTGACAAGGAGAAGTCGGACAGATACACGAAGAATGCGGAGGAACTACAAAGAAAGCTCGAGGCAGAGCGTAGTGTCGCCGAACACTGGGCGACCAAAGAAAGGGAATACACCAAGAAGCTTGAGAAATCATCAGCAACATCTTCTGTCATCTCTCCGCCTCCTGAAGAGGAGTCAGCGAGTCCTGCGAAACGTCGACGAATTGATGGGTCCGGGGAGTGAGCGTTTACCTTGGGAAGCGGCAGGGAGATTGTCTAACAGATAAATCTTGTCATTTGTAAAGCAAGGAAGCAAAGCGATGAAGGGTTGGCAAGACAATGATTGTTGTTCAAGTTTTTGGTCAGATTTGTCAGTGGAATGGAAGCAACGTGGAAGGCATTTGGTGAAAAGCAAGTCAAAAACAAGGTGTGATACGGAATGGGAGTGATATTGCCAAGTATAGATAAATACCAAGATTGAGTTTGCAATTGTTCATTATGATGCTGAAGAAAACTTGATTGTGAAACAGTTTGTCCATCATAAATATTTGCTCTTTGCTTAGGCAGAAAGCAAGCTTGAACAAACCGCTGAAAACACCACGACCATCATGTAATGGAACGAAGGCAAGTGAAAACACGATTATGTAAAGCCTGTCTCTGAAAAGTATAAATACCCCGATATCCCTGGGGTAGAACTCAGTCAACTTACAACTCAGCTCAGTTACATCAGACAACATCTTCAACATATATGTGTATATATTCCTTTTTCTTCTTTTGTTTCGGATCTCCCAACGCCTCAGTGATTGGGATTGATCTCGAAACATATATATCTGCCCGGAATGACCCTTCAAACTGGCACCAGACGAGGGTATCAGTGTAAGAAGCGATCATGATATTCCTCGACACCATAATGATCGGACTTTATGGATATAGCAAGGTGCCTATATTACTCTGCCACTAGCCTTACTTGCACTGCTAACATCTCAACAGAGAGAACTCGTCTGTGAACAAAGACTGCGAGATGTCAACTTGGGGACTCAAGGAAATTTGGGACATCGACACCAAGAAACGAATAATTAGGTAAGTCTAGTTTGAGCTTAGGATAAGTCTAGGACAGCTTTGCTGAGCTCCTTTTTAGTACCTATATATGGTGAACATTGCTATCGAGTCACCTGTGGGGATCGAAGTGATCCTGTCGGTCCTCGCCATCGTTGCTCTGGCATGGAGCGTTTACAAGCTCCTTCAAGCCGGAAAACCCGAGCCAGTCGACCCTAGGCATTACTGTATACCGTCTTTTCACCAACAGAAGTATACAGTATTTTCGATCAACCTACTCTGTCCATCCTAGTATCGTTTTAGTCAAATCGCCTGTCGCTGCAGGTTGCCTTCTTCACTTCTGGGCTTTCTCCTGCTCCTGTCAGCCCCTGACTTCATTTATACCTGCTTTTATATATGTATTCGGCGGCGTTATGTTGGTCATTACATTTCCATACTGCCAACACTCTCTGGAATGGTGTTCAGCCATCGTCCAAGGCTTGACCCTCACGAATGAACCTTACTAGATGGACCAACGAACCCCTCCAGGAAGGAGAAGGAAAGACGAGGTGGAAGGATTTGTCAACGTCTGGATACTTCAACCTCACATTGCGATGCCACATCATGTGTTCGACGGATTCAACAACACCCCACTAGCGTACAAGCAAGCAGCTCCAGCTTGACACTGGAAGAACTCAAAGCCGAAAATCATGTCCAGAGTCATGTCTCACTCAACCAGTGCTCAAGCGACACTGCTTATATATGAACCAGCAAGAAGACCAAACAAAGGCACCCATCGGCTCAGAAGGACTCCGCCAACCTAAAGACTTGGAGCAACAACAAGTTATCAATGACAGTCCTATACATGGCCAATGTGAGGGGAATCAAGAGGTCACGATGTTCCACAAAATCTCCGGTTGCTGCAAGGAAAGACCAATTCAATGGCCAACCCGCACCGTCAACCATTGCCCAGACCAGCAGTCCCCAGAAGCCATAGCTCGTACTACTCATGACCGACCTATTCTCTATGTCGATGAAGACTCAAGAAAGCAGTTCGATGCCAAAAATAGTGTCGTTCATGGATACTGGAAAGATATAATTAATATCCTTGTTACCACCAACGACAAACTCACCGTCATTAGCGAGCTAAAGGATGTCCCAATAGCAAGAGCCATGTCAACACATATATATATATATTCGGTATGTCCGAATAAGATCACAAGATAGCACAGACACTCGGCACTCCCATTTCAGTTTCAACACTCATTCTCTTGACACGCACACCTGCGTCTTCGACCAAGCCCCCTTGTCTTTTACCAGTCCTCTTTGACGACCGTCTCAGCTGCCCGTCGTCATCTACCCAGCCAGCCGTCAACATAACCAGACCTTGAGCACCAATAATGCTAGAAGTACCGCATCGACGCCCCTGCAGTACCATAACACATTTCGTCCTGACCAGCTATGATCGATACGCTTCGCAGCAGGGGAAACTATACCCATAAATCGTGGCAAAACCTGCCAGATGAAGTTGGAGCAACTTCAAACCCAACAGGGTGAGGTAAACGTATTCTCAGCCCTCGATGTCGCTTTTCAATAATATATATCTATGCATGATAATGCCTTTCACAACAGCACTTCTCAGGGATGGTCTCAGTGGTGGCTGCACAATCCTCACCGGCGACGCAACCCACGTCTTTTCCCCTTTCGCAGTTAATGGGGCGTCGACCTGGGTAAACAAGCGGCAAAGCCCGGCAGACGCGCCGCGCGATCATGCTTTAGCTCTCAAGGAGACTCTTGCAGTCATAAGGAAGGCCTGGCTCAATAGCAACAAGACCTTCAGGCCATAGCTGCTATCGCCAGACCTCCTGAAGCACTCCGCTCAGACCCTAAAATGGGACGTTGACCTGGGCAAGCAGGTTGTGAAGCCTATGCTAAGGCAGCTCCAAACACGCCGGACTATGAAGACCCCGGCCATGCTTCCGGACGGCACCCTAGAGTTTCCGACAACCAGCCCGCTACCGGCTTTAATCACTATCAAGGAGGTAGAACATAAGGACAGCGACTTAGCGCTGCTTGTGTCACAGCGCGGCGCTAATTACGCAAGCCACCTATATTCTACACCAGATGGGATAGCCCCCGACATAACCCAAACTAGCCAACGCATCTGGATAGACACAATCAAACGCCCAGCGCACCAAGACATAAAGGGTCTCCTTGACAATCGGTCACAACAAACAACCTGGCATCTAGGAATTTGCAGAGCCTATAAACCAATTCCATCTTATTCATTGTCAGGGAGGAATGGAAGGACGAGGATCCTACAACATCTTCGGGGGAGAATGGAAGAGAATATTCACCCCGCATGGAATCTGCGCTCAACCAGATCCTAAAGTAGATCTCATGTGATACTATGTTACTCCTGGACCGCTGATCTTACTCGAGGATCACCTGTCGGAGAAGCCAAGGGAGCAAGGCCAATCGGTAAGGGATCTGTTCAATGTGGAGGCAACCCGGCACTTCGAGAGGTCTGCACACGATCGAATCGTGGAAAGACACATCGTCGATGAATCAATCTGTCCCTTCTGGAGTATACAGGGACGAACTACTACGGCCAAATTGAGCACATATAGCTCAAAGAGCCCCTTCGACTGCGAACCTAGAGCTATAGATGCTAAGGCTAGTAGCTACTGCGATATACATGCCTGGCACCAGACTGAGCCGCGGCACAGTCGATGTTGAAGTTGGGAAAAGCCTCAAGACGTACCAACAGCTGAAAGTCTGCCCGGATTGCATAACAGCAAGCAGCCATAGTGCACTCCTCGTAGTCAAAGGCAACATCTATGCTCTCTTCACAATCACCCGCGAGGGTGTGGGCTTTGTCTTCATTGGCAGAATCTTTACCAGCGGTGCTTTGGTGGATTCAATTATATCGACAGCTTCTGTAGCGTGTCCCAAGATCAGCCCGTTTGCCGTTGCCTCAGCCCTCTACAATTAGGACATAGTCCGGGACCTAGCTTTCGAGAAGTTCACCACCCCCAGTCCATTTATGAATAACCAGTCGCGAACTCTGATAGCCTTTCTCAAGTGGATAATGCCCATCGACCCTTTAACCCGAGGACTTTGCATAATCTATCTGGTGCTAGACTTACTCAACCTGGCAGAAAGGGAATGGAAGATCTCATCAGCGAGATCGTACCCCGAGAAGAGCTACCAGGAAATTCGCGATACCACGGAACAGTTATCAATGGTGAATCAGAAACTGTTCGACCGTTTCATGCTGGCAACTGGCTGCATCGCAAGGGCAACTACAATATAGGAAGTTCCACACCAGAAGGGGAAGTATGCTTGCCCGGTGTTATTAGTGACGCAGCTGATACGGCTGTGGGTATTATGAACTACCTATATAAACAACTTGCGTAACTAGGACGCTGAAGATAGTAGTATCAAGTTAATACGTATCTCGTTAGTATTCTTCAAGCTAGGCACAAGTCTAGTGGCGACCTGAAAACACTGAGTAGCTCCGCCTATACCTAGTAAGTTCACAATTCAAGCCCTATTAAAACAAGACTTTTACTAAAACAATATCTTTCAGGTCCGACTCCTCGTCACACACAGAGACGACCGGAAAACGGAGAGATCACCCTCAGCTGCCAGCTGCCAGAAAGCAATATATATACAGCCCCAAACTCCCTCAATTGGGATGACCAAGTCACCATAGCCAACTTATGTTTCCAAACACAGGCACGAGACGCAATTCTTCCTCTGAGATGATGAGCAATCTCAGACTCGGCGTGGTATACCTGAGGGCAACTATGCCACTCTGATGAGATGTCTATAAGGGAGTCTTGCCTCGTGATGAGCAATGCATTCCGCTTTGCCAAACATTTCGACAGACATTACCCAGGATTAGACCAGATAAGAAGTTTCCCTTACGCTTAGAGATCATTTTCCCGGTATTCTACCCAGGGCATAAGTCGTGGGAACAAACCACGAAGCATTGGCCGATTCCCAGCAGACACGATATATGTGTCTGTCTGTACCAGAGCTTTATAAACCAGCCAAGGAATGGAAGATATCGAGTTCAACATCCATCTCCTCTTCCTAAAAGGACTCCAAAATGCCGACGGAACACCCCGCTATTCAGTCTACACCGTCAACCTTATCCCACTCGGTGGCTACGCTATAAGCATGTTCGCGTGTACGACCTAA